TGATTACTGATCAAACTGACAACAACAAAGACGAAGACGAAGGAGAAGAAGAAGAGGCAATAACCAAAGACAAGGAGCAGCTACAGACGATCAGCATCTGTGGTAGTGATTTGATGATAAACGGCCTCGCCGCGGCAGCATCATCATCATCAGCATCATCAGTAGCAGTTGGCAGCTCTTCCCTGGCTACTGCTGATTCAGACGCGACCATGGCGACAATCACCGGCGATTATAGCAGCAGCCACCACCACCACCATCTTCAACAGCAACACCACAGCCATCAACATCACAATACACAAACAGGGCTAAAGCAAACAGAAGAGGAAGTGGACGAAGCAGAGCTGGAGCAACAGCAACAACAGCAGCCGCCGTCGTCGCAGCAATCCCTGGCGATGCAAACAGCAACAACAGGCACGAGCAAACAATCGCCAATTGGGGGCGACCACTTTTCGAACACGACAACGACATTACCGCCCGATAACAACAACAACACAACTGAAAGCAGCAATGGCGAGGACCTCAATGGAATCGCTGCTGCTGCTTCCACTTCCCAATCCACAGACAACAACAGCTCTCCGGCGACGTTGGAATTAGATGGCTCAGCTGGAAATGGAGGAGCTCGGTTCAGCTACGGCCACAACAACAACAACAACAACAACACCACCAACAATGGCTCGGCCACCTCGTCGCCCGCTCCTTCCCCTACGCCCTCCTCATCAACTTCGACATCAGCGAATGGAGGAAATGGAAGCGGAGAGCCCGCCGTCAACCAGCGCCAGTACCGAAAGACGCTCGAATACCTAAAACAGCTCTTTTCTGACAGGGAGCGGCTGCAGCTGCTGCCGCTGGGCGTCTTCGCCCACGTCGGTCGCCTGCTGGAGGGCGAAATTCAGCGCGTTCGCGCCTCTCTGATTCACATTGACGGCGGCGCGGACCAGCGCCGATCGTTGGTGCTGCCCGAGCCGGAAGGCGAACCGGTGCAGCGCTCCACGAAGGTGTACGTGCCCGCGGAGAAGTACCCCGAGCTGAACTTTATCGGGCGCATTATAGGGCCCCGGGGACTGACCATCCGCGAGCTGGAGGCGGACTGCGGCTGTAAGCTGTACATACGGGGCCACGGGTCGCTCCGGGACAAGAGCAAGGAGGAGAAGCTGAAGGGCCAGGAGAACTTTGCCCACCTCAATGAGGACCTCCACGTGCTGATCACCGTGGAGGATGCGGAGAACCGGGCGGCGTTGAAGCTGGAGCGGGCGGTGGGCGAGATCAACAAGCTCCTGGAGTCGGTCATCAGCAATAAGGACGAGTTCAAGATGAGGCAGCTGGCGGAGCTGGCCATACTGAACGACAAGTTCAAGATGCAGGGGCCGGTGGGAGTGGGAGGGGCTAACGCTGCC